GGCCGCAGGCCCCCTCCCCGGTGGCTTCCAGCCGCGCCTGCGTCTGCCTTCCCCGTTTCACAACTCTGCGCTTGCGCATTCCGCTGGGACGAGAGGGTGGAGGCGCGCGCGCTGTCAGATGCGATCACCTGCGGGTGTCTGCGCCTGAGTTCCGGCAACTGAACGTTCGCGCTGGCCCCGCCCACTACCTGACCTCAGCGGCGGCGAGAGGGAGCGCCGTTTTTCTTGCCCGTCTCGGCGGGCGCACGGCGGGGTCCTCCCCTTCTGGGTTCCAAACGGATGAAGAGGGGGAGTGGGGGGAAGCCGTTGCCGGGGGAACTAAAGAGGGCGGAGGTGGGCAGGAGCGCGAGGCAGCCACGCCCCCTCCTTTCTCCGCCTGTCCAATAGCGCGCGGGGCCGGCTGGGGCCGCCGGGGTTGTGGCCTGGGAGGGCGGAACGGCGCGTGCGCAGCGGCCCCGCAGTTCTAGCTGCCGCCTGCCGGCCGGTGCAAGGGGGTAGGATGACACCCGGACGGGCTAGGCGGGGCGTTGAGGGAAGTTCAAATGAAAAAGCAAGTTCTTGTGAGGCTTCTTCCACTGCTTTTAAAAAAAACACAGCTTTCATGAGGGGGGAAAAAAATCTTCTCTCAGTGTCCCCCCAGGCCAGTGCCCTGCTAGCCCAGTAGTCCCGCTAGGCTTTGAGAAACACGGGCCTCCACGAGAGGCTTTGCTGCACAGTAAAGCCTAATTTACTGCACAGGAAAGAGTCACTATTTACACGTATAGCCATTTACTGCACAGTAAATGAGTCTATTGCGCAGTAAGGCAAACAGCGCAGTAAAGCCAAATAGCATTAATTGCTCACGTAGACGTGGCTGCTTCATACTCAAGCCACTGTGCCCTTGCACAAGAAAAGTAAGGTTACAAGAGCACAGGGCACTGAAGGCATTTAAAAAAAAAACAGTGGAAGAAGCCTCACAAGAACTTGCGTTTTCATTTTAACTTCCCTTAACCCTCCTGAGCAGCCCGTCCAGGTGTCCAAACTACCACTTTTTCCTCTTCCGTTTGTAATGTGACTGCTTTTTGAAAGGCCAGCCTTCAGATTCCCACAACTAAGATTTTTTTAAAATTATTTTAATGCTGAAACTTTGAAACTGCAGTCATGTCAGCCATTTTTAAAAAAAATAATTTTTTTTTAGGCTGAATTAAAAAAGCGTTTTCCAGTTAATTCCGTGGTATTGCTCGAGGGGGTGAAGAGCCTCATGCTTTTCATGTTGCACAGAGGGAGGCTCTGTCAAACCCAATTTGCTCAGCTGTGGAGTGATTGACTGCAGTATTAAAGCAACCAGCTGTTTATTAATTATTTGGATGCTAGCATTGTAAAGCTTGAACAAGTTTGCAGGTGACATGAAGCTGCGAAGGACTGGGCACGCTGAAGATCAGGAGCGCAATTCAGAAGGGTTGTGACAGATCGAAAAGCTGGGCTGAAGCTAACTGAAGTTCGTTGCTGACTAAATGCATGTTGCTACACCTGGGGAAGAAAAATCAAAACCACAAATACAATATGGGTGACTCCTGATTGGATGGAAGCACTTAGAAGGATCTGGGAGTCCTGTTAGATCAGTCTCATAAATACGAAGCTGTAGTGTGACGCAGCCATCCAAGAGGGAAATGCAGTTTTGAGCTGTATCAATCGAAGTACTAAGTTCAAGGTACCTGTGATAGTGCCTGTCAATTCAGCACTGGTTAGGCCCATGTGTGTGTCAGAGCTGATTTGGATCAATGCCTCGACACAGTGGAACTTTCCAGCACAAGGCACGGTAAGGAATTCTTGGCATGGTGAAGAGTTCCGGCGGGGATAGAGTTCCCGCCGAGGAAATGCAGATTTGCATAACACGATTGGCCAATGTTAAATTATTCCCACGTGGCGGCTGGCAATTGGCTCCCTAGCCGTATAAAAAGGTAGGGGCACTTTCGCGCATAAAAGGTTAGGGGCATTTCCGCCCTAGTTGGAGAACTCCGCGATTCCCCTTGGAGTGGAACTCCGGCAGCTTGATCACCTGCCAACGACTCCCCGTCGACGAAGCCTTACGATGTATCCTCCGTGTTGCCTGCCCGAGTTAGACCCAAGCTACCCGGTCTACAAGAGCTCCTCGATTAGCGACTAGAGATTAGAATTGTTGCAACTACGATTGAAGTGTGAAGTCACTTCTTGCCTGCGCTGTATACGACTCTACAGTGTAAGTAAAGCCATCTCTGTTTTTCCAATTGATACGCGTCTCGTCTGTGCCTAATTCCGCTCCGGTGATAGAGAGTACCCATCTGCCCGTCACGGGATTGCAGCCACAACCCCAGCTAGCATTCCCGAGGGTTCCCGATCCTCGATTCCCCCTCGGCCTCCACAGTGTGCAGTTAGGCTCCACATTTAAACAAAAAAAGAAAGATGCGGAGAGGGGAGCTGGACCCGATGATCTGTAAGGCCCCTAATAACTATGAAGTTAGGGTCCAGAGGCAGGCAGCAAAAATGATAAAGGGCTTGGCAGGCAAGTCATACGAGGAGAGGTTGAAGGACCTAGACATGTTCAGCTTGTGGAAAAGGTGCTTAAGAGGGGACTCAATAGCAGTCTTCAGATACTTGAAGGGCTGCCATAAAGAAAAAGGAAAAACACCTTGTCTCTTGCTGCAGTAAGAATGATGCTGACTAGTGGCTTGAAGTTTCAACACAGTAGGTTTAGAAAGGATATCAGGAAAAACGTCTGCATTGTTAGAACAGTGAGGCAGGAGAACAGATCGCTTGGGGAAGCGGTGGACTTTCCATCGTTGGGGGTGTTCAAGAAGACTTTGGACAGCCACTGGTTGGGAAAGATCTGGGCACAGCTGTGCCTTTGTTCTGCTGTGGGTATTTCCCATGCTTTTGGGTTTTGCTGGTTGCTGCATGGGACTGGGAATTTCCTCCCCACCTCCCTTTCTTCTATTGCATCATGTATATGTTTAAGCCTTCCTCAGAGGTGTTTTAAGCCATTGGGTGTTGGCTGCAGCTAAGGCTGGGGATTTTGAGGGGTGTGCCAGCACTCTTGCTAAGACCTAAACCCAGAGGTCACTAGAGGGTCTTGCCCCTCTGCTCAGGGTCAGACCTATTGCCTTATTTGGGGTCAGGAAGAATTTTACCCCATGGTTAGATTAGTATGGACTGGGGATGGGGGGCATGGCCCTTTTCCTGGGATCTCTGGAGTATATTTACAGCTGCAGGACATTAGGCACCATGGCCCCACCTGTGGCAGGCTAGGGTACTATATCTTGTGTCAGGGTTGACCTTCCTAGTTTTGCTAAGAGGTTAGACAGTGGATTTGTATAGAATGGTTTGGATAGGGATGGTCCTGCCTCAGGCAGAGGGTTGAACTAGGTGACCTCTGGTTCCTGCCCTACTTCTCTATGCTTCTATGATCACTCTAGTTCATTTCTATAACTTTGAGGTCTAAAGATGCACCAGGGCTTCCTTCCCCTTTTTCAACATGATGAACTCAATGCTGCAAATGAACCATCGCCTAACTGGAAAGCATTCAAATGAGACAGACAAGGTTCCTTGGGTGAATTTGATATCTTTTATTAGACCAACCCAAATGGTTGGAGAATAGTTATTAAGCAAGCTTTCGGTTTCACCCTTCGTCAGGCTGGAGCAGTTGGTGTGTGCTCTTCCTGGATGGAATGAAAAGTAAAGAAGCCAGGGGCTGGGCTGGGGAGTCAGTTGCCAGGCAGATTATAATGTATCAAAAATCCAATGTCTATGTTTAGTCCATGATCTCTAGTATCCAGCAGGTTGATGAAATGGAGCTCATAGGCTCGTCTCTGGGAAGTGTTGTGTAAGTTTCCCTTGAGGATCAGGACTGAGAGATTGGAGAGAGAGTGGCCCTCCTGTAAGAAATGTGCCTCCACCGGTAATTGAGTGTTTCCGTCTTTGATGGATTTCCGGTGTGCGTTCATTCTGGTGCGCAGTTGTTTGGTCTCTTACTTTTAATTCCATCCAGGAAGAGCACACACCAACTGCTGCAGCTTCCTTAGCCTGACAAAGGGTTTTTGAACCCGAAAGCTTGCTTAATAACTATTCTC